TTCCTTCAACATTTGTGAAATTTATCTATGTTGTGGCATGTAACATTAGTTTTTTCTTTTCATTTCTGTATGGTATCTCACTGTATGAATATACCACAATTTATTGATCAGTTTGGATATTGATGGATATATAATACTTCCAGTTTTGGAATAATCAAAGTCATATGGCTATGAATACTTATGGACATGTCTTCTATTGAACATATGCACATGTCTCTGTTTTATTCTTAAACATGAGACTGTGGGAAAGGTCAGAGGGTATTCAGTTGTTCAGCTTAATAAATATTGCCAAACAGTTTTCCAAAGTGGTTGTACATATTATCCTTCCCACCAGCAGAGTTGGAGAATTTATTTTTCTGTATCCTTGACAATACTTGATATTGATTGCCAGCCTTCTGGCTATGGTTATTATATTGTTTTGTGGTTTTAATTTGCATTTGCTGATGAATCATGATGTTGAACGTATTTTTATATGTTCACTGGCCATTTGGACAGCCTCTTTTGTGAAGTCTTGACCATTTTTCTGTTAAGTTATCTGCCTTTTCAGTGTAATAATTCTTTATGTATTCTGGATAAGAATCCTTTGTAAAATATATATATATACATATTTCTTATATATATATCTTCTCTCATTGTATGTCTTGTCTTTTCACTCTGAATCATTATATTTTGAAGAGATGCACCAATATTTTTCTTTCATAATTATTAACTTGTGCCCAGTATGAGAAATCTTTGCTTATCACATAAAGATGTTTTCTAAACTCTTTATTTTGCCTTTCACTTTTGGATCTACAGTTCATATGGAATTGGTTTTTGCATATGGTATAAGGAAAGTGCCAAGTTTCGTTTTATCCGTGTGGAATCTAAATGACCCAGCACCATTTTGAAAAAGGTCATTTCTTTTCTTCATGCACTGCAAATGTTACCTTTGACATCAAATAGGTTACAGGTTCCAAACATGTGTGGGTCTGTTTCAGGTCTTTTCTGCTTTGAGCCGTTTGTCTATGCTTGTGCCAATACAACATTGTCTTAATTACAAAAGCTTTATAATACATCTTGATATCTGTTAGTGTTAACCTTCTGCAAGACTGCTTTGGTTATTCTTGGACACTTGCATTTCTATACACATTTTAGAATCGGCTACTCAACTTCTGCCAAAAAAAAAAAGAAAAAACTGATAATTTTTATTGGGATTGCATTCAATCTATTGATGCCTTAATATATTGATTCTTTCAATTCATGAATCCCTGTTTATTTCCTTTTCCTTATTAACGTTTTCAGTGTAGAGGGCTTGTATCTCTTTCATATTTTTGCATCTATGTCCTTAAGGGATTTGGTTAAATAATTTCCCATTCTTGTAGCACTTTGTTCGGTTTTTGCTATGAAGGGTATTCTGGTCTCATAAAATATGTAAACAATTGTTCTCTGTTTGGCTATTTTCTGGAAGAGTTTGCATAAGATTGGTGGTTTTTTCCGCCTTAAATACTTGGAGGAATTTCATAGTTTTTTTTATCAAATGAGTTATTACATCTCAAGCACTTGGAAAAGTGTCTGGCATTCTTCGGTAAGTGCTATAAAATGTTAACTATTCTTATGTGCTTGAATATCCGTTTTCCCCATGTAAATCATTACATTAACATGTCAGAGCAGAACTGCAGGGTTTTATGCAGAGAGGTAATAAGCTTTAAGCCATTCCTTCCGAAGGCACTCTTTAGGATTTCGGCTCTCATTTAATTACCAGTTGAGGACTCAGTGTATTTTCAGAGGATATTTTACTTGAATTTTTCAACTCTCTGTTGCCATAAATTTCAATTAATAATATATAAAGTGGATTTTGATAGAGCATAGTTTTAAATAACACATTTGTGTAACTCCATCTCATACTCATGAAGAATTCTTTGTAGTTAATAGGCGAACACTGAACTCATGACACATCTAATTTTTCCCGTACTAAAAACATTCCATGTCTTCTTTCATTCCTAGTAACTGCCCTCTCTCCCTTCCCTTTACTTTTCAATGAGGCTTTTCAAGAGTTACTTCCATTCAGTCTCCATTATCCAATCTCCACTCACCTCTCAGCTCAAGTCTGGTTTCCACTCCCACCATTCCACTGGAATGACTCATTGCCAATGTCCCCCCAAGCCTCCATGTCATTAAGGAAAAGACATTTTTCTGCCCTCAGCTTGTGTGAGTCTCAGCATCATTTGGCACTATTGACCACACTGGTGTTCTTGAAACACACTTTATCGTTGAATTCTGTGACAACACACACTCATGCTTTTCTCCTATCTATTTACTCCCATTTACACTCTTTAGCTGACTCATCTTCATGTGATTTTCTGTTGAGTTCTTCAAGCTTCAATTTTTGAAGCATATAGTTTCACCACTTTTCTATGCACTGTTGGCTCTGAAAGGTACTCTCCAGTAGGGTGTATCTCTTTTCTGAGCTCCATAACCAATGCCTACTGACATCTCTATTTGCTATCTTCTCAGCACCTCACAGTCAACACTATCTAAAACTGAGCTCATGTAGTCCTTCCCTTGGCTGCTCCTATAAGTCTCTCCCTCCACAAAAGGCAACACCATGTACAGAGACCCGGAGACCACAAATCTAAGAGTCATCCTTGACTCTACCTTCTCTCACTCTGTAGTCAAGCAATTGTTAAGTCTTGCTCACTTTATCTCCTAACCATCTCTCAATTTCACTTATTTTTTTTTCTCTCTCCACTAACACTACTGGTAAGTCTAGGCCATGTTCATTTTATCTACTACAGTAGATTCATAACTCTTCTTTGGAAATTCATAATTGCTAGTCTACCCACTGCAGCCAGAATTATCTTTTAAAAACTTGAATCTGATCATTTCATGCCATTGCTTGAAAGTATCTAATGTCTGGCTCAAGCAAGGGAATGTAGTCTGTTCAGCTATATGATCAGTGCCTACTTAGCACATAGGAAGTGTTCACTGTATGTTTGTGAAATGATAAATGACAAGTAAAGAAAAAGAATCAAAAGATTGGTATACTGCCCACAAATAAACATATTTTCTCCTGACATGTAGGAAAGAACTTCTCCAAATATAAGACATCGTTTAAACTAAGAGTTTATAATTGACGTGGCCAGACCTATAAGCTTTACACTCAATGAAAAAAACTATTTTCCAGTATGGACTACTAATTTATCCAGCTCAGCTCTTTCTGAATGACATATGAAAGGGTCAAGAAAAAAGCTGTCTATGACCTGGTAAGTTAAACATGCATTTCCTAAGAGTCTATTAGGTGTTGGGAGGGGATGGAATACCCAGTGAAAGACAGTGTAAATCCTCTGGTAAGTATGACTTATGGCTGAACACAGCAAATGTCAGAAAGACATATAAGATGTGGGGGTGAAAAAAACCAAACCAAACCCATTGTCAACAAGTCGATTCCGACTAATAGCCACCCTACAGCACAGAGTAGAACTGCCCCAACAGGGTTTCCAAGGAGCAGCTGGTGGATTCAAACTGCTGGCCTTTCGGTTAGCAGCCGAGCTCTTAACCACTGTGCCACCAGGGCTTGGGGGTACAAAAGATTAATGGGATCTTATCTAGTCAAGGGATCAAGAAAGGCTTTTTGGGGCAGGAGGCTTTTGAAAGTTTTGAAAACCAGTTGTCATCAAGTTGACGCTAACTCATGGTGACCCCATGTGTGTTAGAGTAGAACTGTGCTCCATCAGGTTTTCAATGGCTGATTTTTTGGAATTAGACTGCCAGGCCTTTCTTCCAAGGCACCTCTTGGTGGACTTGTTACCACAATAAGGCAGATTGGAGCTGCCTACTCCAATAGCCAATTCTGAGACAGGGGTGAGGTGAGCAGCAAGAAGTTCATTATGTATCTATATATAGGAGACAGAGGGGAATAGATTCCTACAAAAAAACCATCTCCCCCACTGAAGATCGGCTGAAGGCTTTTATAGGGACAGGATTATGGGTCTTAGAAGTTTGTGTTAGTTCCCCCTTGAGGTGGTCATGTCTCAGATGAGTTAATCTTTCACTGGTATTCTTCGGAGTTATCTGGTGACATTTTTGGGGATTATCTGGTGACATCCTGGTTTCTCTTGTCACAAGATGGGCGCTTGGTTCAGTTTTCATCCTTAGGTCATTATCTCTTGTTTTCCACCCCCCAAGGACGAACATCAGTTAATCTTAAACCTTTTGTAGAGGCTGGAACCGGAGGGAGAAACAAGACCACGAGACAATGTGGCCGTCAGCCATGGGGAGTCAATAATAGTGAGCTGGGCCTATGCAGCCTCTTCCAGACTCACACCTCCGAACTTTCTGTAAGCAGCTGAGCACCTTAGCTGTTTGTGCCACCCAGAGACCCCTGAAGGGTTTGGAGGAGGGTAGAATTTATTCATACAGAAATTGGGGAGAGGCTAGTCCAAGTGAAAAGCATGGTCTGAATGAGGATTAACTTGGCATAATATAATTGGCACCATGGCCATGGTTTTGTGTGAAGTTATAAGTTCTCCACACAAACCACAGGCCTCATCTATCTTGAGACCACTACCAACTGTTCTGACCAGGGACACAAGAGATGATCCCAGATAGATTGGGAGGAAATTGCAGACCAAAACTCAAATTCTTAAAAAAAGGCCAGACTTACTGGACAGGTAGAGACTAGAGGAACCCCTGACAATGTCGCCCTGAGATACCCTTCAAATTTTGACTAAAACCACTCCCGGAGGTTACCTTTTAGTTAAATAACAGATTGACTCATAAAAGAAACAGTATCATCCATGAGTAGTGTGCTTCTTCAAAAAACAAACAAAAATCATTTATATGAGACCAAACTGTCAACATTTAAGCTAAAGCAAAGATGAGAAGATGGGGGAGGGGTCAGAGAAGCTAAATTAATGGAAATGGAACAACCAGAATGGAAATAATGAGAATGTTTATACAATGTGGAAAATGTAACCAATATCACTGAACAATAAGTAGGTCAGAAATTGTTAAATGGGGACCTAACTTGCTGTGTAAACTTTCACCAAAAACACAATAAAATATTTAAAGAAAAAGAAACTTACAAGGTCTCAACTTGGGTGGAAGCAATTGGAATAAAAACGGACAAGATAACATGTCAACATGGCATCTACAGGCCTCTATGGGTTAGAAGATGGGGAGAAAAGCAGAAGGAATAAAAAAGAGAATGCCTGATAGGGTTCCAGCCCAGAGGACACCGGTGACGTTAATGGAAGTCGGAAGTAAGAGAGAAGACTATGGGGTTGGGGATCCTGGAGAAATGGGGGGAAACAGGATACTTATTTTCTGATCCCTTGAGGTGTAGACATCTGCTGGACATTCAGGCAGGGCTGGAAAATAGGTGTATGAGATTTAAAAGAACCAGGCAAGCTTGGCAAGACTTCAACATTCCTACTAAATTATCTTTAATTATCATACTGTGAATCCATAATCCATAAATTGTATCTAAGGCATTCATGAATCTTTCATAAGAGTTTCTGATTACTTATATAAATCTGAACATTTCACATACAACTAATATCCGTTTTTCACATTCAATGTCTACTTAATCAATTAACAATTGTTTTCCATATACAATTTATCCAAGGTTGATCCGGTCCTGCCCTTGTGTCCCAGCTGGTGTTTATGTCCTAAACTTAACGCTGAGAATCCCACAATCGGGATACAGAGAAAATAAGTCTAACTAATGATGCCTTCTTGTCAGGTGAATTATTTCATTTTGAAATTCTATAGCAAAAGAACAATAAAGTATTGGTTCCACTTTTAAATAAATAAGGGGTTATTTTGCTGCTGAAAGTTTTCATTCAAATGACTGATTCGATCTCACATGTCTGTTTAAAAAAGCCTGACTGAGGTCGTTACAAAATGACAGACTATGATAAACTAGATGGTAGCTGGGCGTCAGACAATGAGGCATTGTTTACACAGAAGACAGAGTAACTGGTTTAACAAAAGAGGTTCTTGGGTATCTATTGTATGGACAACTAAGAGATTTACTGGAGCTTTTATCATTTCTGCAAGGCTCTTTTCCAACCAGCTTCATTAACTTGAAGTAAATCAAATCATGCAGAAATCTGGCTCAGCCAGAAAGCAACCCAGGAAGATACAATATGAAGAGAAACAGACACGGCATGATAAGGTTTAGAATCTTTGGCATTTTTCATAAACATTTTGTTTGAAGATTATTAAATTACAACCTAGAAGGGGAAGAAAAAAACAGTAAAACTCACTATTAAATCAGTTAGTTCTTTTCCCTCAACTTTTCTTTGACTGTACATATATACAAAACTGCACATACGAAGTATGTGTCAATGAAATGCAGTCTTTCCAACTTAAATAGCATCTGAAGAGAAGGCTATGTGCATATATTTTATACATGGACGAAATCAGGATCTTTACTGGAGGGGGCTTCTGAGAAACAGTAGGGTCTGCAGAAGTCAGATAAGATCAAGGCAGGGGGCTTTTGGGAATAAGTTTCTAGGACTGGGGTTCTGAGACACATTTTTATTATGTATAGTTTCCATTGCCCATAAGAGCAAAACTTAATCAAAGATAAATCTAGACAAGCTAAGTATTTTTACTTTCTGGCCCCAACATTTGGTTAAAAGAAGTGATTATGATGAGCAGGTAAGCTGTCCTGTTTACCAGTTTGTTGATTTTTAGCTGTTATCTTTCTAAACACTTTCAGAATCCGTTCATGCTTTTTCCTCTCTATCTCTCAAGTTATGATTCTGGCATTTATTTTGGAAGTAAGCCAAAAGTAAAGTCAGAAGCAAAGTAGTTACAAGGTAAAATGACCCTCTCCCTCTCCAGATGAGCAATCCCATTGGGCTTTCCTGGGGGTCCATTGCCATCAAGGGACCCACAGGGCAGTCTGCACCCAGACTGAGAGCTTTACTGAATTTCACATACACGTCCTCAGTGAGCTCGGCTGAAATATTTCTAATGATGTGGGCTAATTCTGGTAAGTATAAAAAAAATTTCTAAAATATACATCATTTGAACAGATGACAGGGATCCACAAATTGTTAACCAAGAGAAAAATTCTGATTAACGCCAACAATAATCTGAAAGAAGTGTGGGGGTGGGGAGTGGAACTAACTGAATCTTAACGAGAATCTGTTGGAGGTGTGAAAACAAGTGCAAAGTCACTGCGGAATCCAAGTGGTCTCCTGGCTGTGCTCAGACCCATGGCAACCTTGCCTGAGCTTCGTATTGGAGACTGGATGTTAGTCTTCCACGGTCTCCAGACTGTCTCCTTTGGCTGGGCCAACCCTCCATATAACTAAGGCATCCATGCATGCAGATGTGTGCACTTGAGCGTGTGTGCACATGCAGATGTGTACTCATGCATGTGTGCACACCTGTGTGCATCTGTGCACGTGGAAAAGGGGGGAGAATACAGAGAGCGCTCCACACAGCACGCATTTCAGAATGACACACGGGTACCACCGAAAGAGTGATAATATTGGTCTAATCAACCAAACACAAAATCAGGGGCTGCTTCCCAAAGTCGGTTTGCGTCCTAGGGAATGCTGCGCTTCTTGCGAAGGGGGCTCTGGTTGCTGCAGGGTTTCAATTCTGCATACTGCACCTGTGAAAACAGACAGACATGACGCTGCTGGTTAGGTAACCCTAGCTCACCACAGTGTGTGTTAATGGCTCCCCAAGGACAAACCAAGGCAAAGGAAGGAAGGTTCAAAGGTAATGAATCATTTTCTAAACACAGGAACATGGAGGGATTAATTGCAGGAAGGATTTGAGAAGTCATGCATCATTTCTTGAAACCAAAATATTAAAAGCAGATTTTTATAATGAGATGCATGGGTTTCTACCTGCTCTCAGCACCGCTAGATGATTTTAGTTTTGCATGTGCTACTTTTCAACATAAGGAAGCTTAATAATCACGGGAATGTTTATCTTAGTATATGATACAGCAACTCACTAAGATTTACTCATTTAAAAATATCTAAAATCTTGGGGAAAAATCTGAGTGAATTATACACATTTATTTTGCCTGAAAGGGAGAAAATGCTGAAATTGATACTGGGCCCTGAACACATAGATTTCTCTTAAAAATGAATTTCATTTACAATGTAATGGCTAAAACATCTGTGATAAATATGAGTGCTCCAGGAGTCTCCAATGGCAAACTGTCTATTGTGTAATTAGAAAGTGCTTTTGGCAGTACGTGGCTGTACAAGGAGGATCTTACTAGCGTACTGTATATCTTTATGGGATGTTCTTGGTTGTGTCTCCCTGTATCTGAGCCAACTCCAACTGGATGACCGCCCCAAGGGCCTGTGTCTGGACTGTACACAGACTGTACACAGACATGGGGGGCTCGATGGGGATTTTCCTTCTTCAAGGATACAGGCGTGAACTCACATGGTGACCCTAGTGATGGTACGTTGCAAACACATTGCTTTGGTGTGTGTCTTTGATAGTCTGACTGGGAATGGCTTTATGTAAAATATTGTATTACAGACCACATGTGCTCACTATTTTTAGCATTCATGCCAAACACCCAGGGACATTAGGCCCTATCACATAAGGGAAGATACATGAAAAAAGCACCTTTTCCATAGAGGGTTTTGTGAAGGTCCCATAGGGGACAGGGGATGAGCCACGTGTCATTCTTCAATGTAACACAAGCAGGCCAGGTTACTATTTTTTAGTCATCTAATACAAATGTTAAAGAGTAAATCCATACCTATAGAATGTACATTTAACATTATGAATAACTATATCATAAAATGAAGGTTAAAGAAGAACAGTGCCATGGAGGCTGTCTTAATATCTACAAATGTAGTGCTGACTTGGAATGAACAGGAAAGAAACCGTAAAACATTTAGCCGCACATCTCTGCAATCCACCCAGCATCCCGGGGGAACTAATTATGTTATAGTTTCCCAAAGACGGAAATCAATACTTGATTTGGGATTCTCTCAGATAATAAAGGATTGTGTCTCTGATCATTCTGATGCTATTTTAGGCCATGGTTTCCCATCTACCTATTCTAAGGTCTCTAGTCTCTCCGTTAGAGAAATCACAGCCTGCCCATCTTCCTCTCGATTTACAGCAGCCTGATCCACAGGGGCCTGGAGAGGCTACTCTACGGGACTTTCTGGTATTGTTGTCGTTGATCTCTGTATAGCCACAGAAACCGGACGCTGCTGGACTAAGTGACCATTACCTGTGAATAATGCTTCTGATTGATCTCAAATTATTTCACGCCATCTCTGCCTCTTTGTGTATTAGAGTAACTGGGGCTTTGCCCTCAGCATCCCTCAGTCTTCAGAGGGAAGGGCATAGAAGGGAGGCCAAGGAGACAATCGGGCAAAGAAGAATAAAAAGAATAATCGGCTTGTCTTCTTCTTCCCCTAAAATGCCTGTCATCCGGAAGAGGGGAAATTAAGCAACACTCCCCCAGCTTTGGATCTCACGCTCTCCCACTCACGGAGCCCATTTATCCTCTTTAGGGAGGTGAGCAATCAGGAGGGTGGCAAACACCATCGCATGGTATCCTCGCAGTATGAGTTCCAGATCATTCTTAAGTAGCTCTTTTTCAGGATAATCTTCCCCAATCATCTCATGCTTTGGACAAAGGTTTTCCTGCCACCTCCCTGCAAGTCAGGTCACTATAAGGGTTTTCTAATTCGTTATCTCCGTTGCTCACAGGGCACAGCCTGTGCGCCTCTGGCTCTGGGGCTAGTCAGACGTCAGCACTGGTGCCCCTGTTGGTGGTGACCATTCATTACATACCTTTTGAACATCAGATGGTACCCTGGAGAGAAAGTCTAGAAGCTCATTATTATCAATGGTATAGGGATTTCGAAGCTTCTTAGTAAATTTATTTATGCCTGAAAAATAGAAACAGGAGGGGCTCTCTTGATTGATTGATCAATTCATTCATTCATTCACTCACTTATCTTTAAGAACTTGCCTGGCTGGTGGCGGGGGCAACGGCGGGGAAGGGGGCGCGGGCATTCACAAGTAAAGATTAGTGTGAAAACAATTACATAGACCTCAAGCCATGCACACGTTGCTGTCATGTGGAATCATTCACAAATGCCTTTTCTTGGAGGAAGGAAGTGGGGATTGTGGAAGAGGAGCTTTGCCTTCTTCAGCTGTGAAAATCCCATTACAATCTCAGCAGCAGGGCGAGGAGGCATGCTAAAACTGTGTCACTCCTTGGCTTTTTTGGAATACACTGATTAACAGCCTCCTCCGCTATGAAAACAAATGGCCCAGATGGGAGAAGGCCTTCATTAGCCCAAACAAGTCCTTGCTTGGAGGCTCTGGACCAAATGCAGCAGGGGGAGGTGGAGGGAAGAAAGGGATTTTGTTGTTGTTGTTGTTAAGAAGAAACTACAGCATCCTTCACCCCAACTCATTTTCACAGGTTTCTCTCCTCTCACTGCTGAGCAGAACTTGACATGTTGATGGTACTTTGATGCTACGGGAAACTGTGAAAAGTTATTATTGGAAAATTATTTTACTATGGTTGCTAACTTGATTTATGGACTGCAACACTGGCGCGGGGGTTGGTCTGGGCAATGGAGCACATGCTAATTTCGGACGGGGACAATGATCATTAGAAGGGGTTGTGATGTTTTAAGATGTCAATGTGCTGGAGAGCATCCCAATTAGGGGGCTGCACCCTGGGCTCCTGAGCATGTCCAGACTGTGCTCGGTTTCCTTCTAGAGGGAGCATCCCACTACCCCCTTGTATCTCCTGCTCTGCTCCTGGGAGCTGCTTTGCCTATATCCCGAGCTCATAGTCATGCTCTTTTTTTTTTTTTTTTTTTTTTTTAACCAAAGGTCACCTTTTTTTTCCTGTTGAGTTTTAGAAGCAGAATGACTAGGTGGCTTTCTGAAGCCGTGCCGCCGGGTGCTTGTTTAACAAGGATCATATCTGAAGGCCTTGTCAGCCTCAGTGGTGCTGAATGAATTCACAGCCTAGGTGTGCTGTGAATGGCTCCTACTTGGAAGCCAGGGAAACATTGAACTGTTCGTCAGGCGCCAGCACATGAAAGGTTTGATGTTTCTCTTCTTTCATGCAGTATTATTTTGCTTTCATCTAAGGACAGGACTTCCTACATGGCATTATACCTGACACAATGCCAACCTCCAGCCATTTATTTGGAGGGTCAGATTTACATCTGCTTTGCAAATGGGAGCCAGCCATTGTCCATGAGAAAATGGCTGCATGGTGGCTGGGCTGCAAAAGGCTGCTTGCAAAGGCTCCCCTTTCCTTTAAGTCAAAGCTGCACTCTGCCTTTCTTCCCTCTACCCCCACAGCAAGCTAGTTAAATCCCCACCCCCCAAAGTTCCTTTAAACTAAAATACTTTCACTGTGTTATTCTAAAGACATTTAATTGTAGCATGGGCTTTTTGGCAAAAGAAAACAGACAAGGCAAAATGACGAAGGGAGACAAAGGACGTATTGAGAAAAGATATATCTTCTATTGTTAATTATATATAGTGTGCGCATCTGGAGTCTTTACAATGAATAGCAAGGCAGGGATAATATCACAACCGATCAAAACAGTGCATTCTTAGTCACTGAGAAGATGATAAACCTGCACGGTAGCTCAAATGCACCAATAAGGGCAGAAGTAGTCCATAAGGCACCGAGACTAGGTTTGAAATACTTAGTTGGAATAAAAATGATAAGGCACTCAGATTGCATGCTTCAAAATGCATACCTTATTTTTTAAGGTATTGCAGGCTCAAACACGTCAGTGATTCCACAAGGTTATCTACTGTGTGAGACCAAGTGTCAACAGGGATGATACAGCCCATGGTCATCTTTAAGGAGCAACGGGGCAAGGAGGAAGGAACCAGGGTTATGGGGCAGGTACACCTGGGTTCCAGCCTTGGGTTCACCACATAGTTAGTAGCTGTGTGATTTTGGATAATAAAGATCTGCCCTACGTAGTTTCCTTGGTTGTTGAGAGAAGCATGTTGGGCAATATAGGCAAGAGGATTCTGTAATCTGAAATTCCACAGTAATAGGGGCTATCATCATTACTGTTGATGTCAACGAGCTAAAAAGACAAAGGATGTAGCAATGGAAAAGAGTCTTTAAACAGGTAGTCCCCAAGTTACGAATGAGATCCTTTCCTGTGTCTTTAAGTCGAATTTGTAGGTAAGTCGGAACAGGTGCATGTGGTTCTTATTTAGCCTGATTTTAGTGCTAGAAAAGGCTCAGACCTTTTCAATGCTTTAAAAGCTGCATGTGCATCAAGTAAAGGTGATTGCGATGAAGAGTTTGTTGCCAGTAAGGGTTGGTTCAATAGTTTCAAAGTGAGGGCAATTTTACATAACATTAAAGGGCAAGTATGAGTTGTCATGGTTCGGTGGTTAAGAGCTTGGCTGTTAACCAAAAGGTCAGCAGTTCAAATCCACCAGCTGCTCCTTGGAAACCCTATGGGGCAGTTCTACTCTGTCTTACAGGGTCTCTATGAGTCAGAATCAACTCAAGGGCAACAAGTTTGTATATGAGTTGTTCGTAAGTCGGACATTCGTAACCTGGGGACTTGGGGTACTACTGAGCATCTGATTACACGTCCAGATTTGGAACTTGTGGCTTTATCCAGTAGCACACCAGATATGCCTTTAGATTATTTAATCTACGTGATATAGACAGACAGACGGTATTATCTGCTGTGAAAACTTTTTTTTTTTTTTTTTTAGCATATATAAAGTAAGTGGGATTCAAATACCAAAGAACAACATTTGGGGAAGATACTATCATTTAATGGTCCCTGATCATGGACTGAATAGGTCAGTGGGGTGGAAAGAGCCCTCCAGTAAGAAAGAGCACCTGGAGAAAATCAGGAGCGAGGGAAAATCACCTGGCTGCTTTGCACATATGGCCACATGAGAATAGCCACTTGAAAGGGAATTAAAACACTCTTTGCTTCAGATACTTATATGAGCTACTGGCATGTTGCCTTGATGGCACTACACTGGTAGGGTGGGGATGGAGGGTTCTTTCATTCATTTGTTCATTTATCAAACAATGCCTTTGATAGATATTGTGCTATCAGATGAAGATAGAAAACTAAGGCCTGGCACCTTCTTGCAAGAAACTCAAAATCCAACTTGGAGAGTTCATATTTACCTTGGGAAAACAGAAGAGGCTCAGACCTGAACTAAATAACTGTAATTAAAATAACTATAACGAAGGGCAGAATGGTAGGAATATGGAAGTCTCTCAAAAGGGACAGAAAAGCCACATGTGATCTAATCTCGAATGCTCTGCCTTCTGTAAACACATACATCAAACAAATAACCCAAATCTAGCAGATCAAAGTTTCCTAAAGAAAATTGAAGATATCCCTTTTAAACGCAATTCTTGCTTTTTAAAAATTAAACTCCCACACAAGAGAGGTGGCAGGCCAAATAAAATGTTACCTAAGTAAATTACAGGTATTAAATCCTCAGAGTCATTCACTCATAAAAATATCTGTCAAGTGCTCATTAAAGACCCATTACCTATTTATAGCTGCAGAAGGAATTATAGGGGTGATAAGGGAAGAAAGTGCCTTACCCTTCAAATGCTTACAATGAAGTTAGTGAGTCAGGGAATATTACAGCCTTTAAGAAATTAGGCTATTCTCATGTGCTTATGTCAAATAATTCTGATAATTAAAATCATTAATACAAAAATGATATTTGAGTATATAGAATGTAAAATAAAGTACATACAGTTAAATAAGTTTGCTTCAAAGGAGTAAAAACATGGAACAAATCATTTCAGGATATTATTTACAACTTCAAAGATGAGTAAATAACTTAGTATGAGACATATTCTTTAAAAAGTGAAAAGGAACACTAGAAATTTAAGACATAAAATTATCTTCTACAAGAGAAAGTCTCTACACAGGATAAAATCATAAATTGTGCAAAAGAATGTTCTGAATCCATATTAGCTAATAACAAACTTGTCTTGGAAAAGAGTAAGTCCTAATAGAATTGTAGAATATATTCCATGATGGCATGGAAGGTATTATGTGATGAGAGACGGGAATAGATCATGTGTTGATTGTCAAGGCTTTTGACTACGTAATTATGGTAAGCTCATCAATAAACTATGAAATTCTGTCTGGAACATAAAACCAAGGAATCAGACACTTAGTATAAAGCTCAAAGGGCCACTGTTGGCCCAGGAGAGCATAATAAACTCCATAATAACTTCACCCATAAACTGAATGATAAATACAGCAATGTCTCATTAAGTAGATTCAAAAAGTCAACATTGGGAAACTGCCAAGATCTTGGAGGATAAGATCAGAAATCAAAGTGATTTGGATAAATAGGAGGAGGGACTGGAATCCCAAAATGTCGATCAAAGGAGGAAATACAGTATAGTATACTTTGTGGCAAAAAAAAGATGCATAAAAGAAAATCAAGAGTGCACCAGAATGATAAATCACAGGGCAACAGTTGTTAATAAGTTGACCATAGTCATCAACTTACATGTACTTAACAATGGCCAAATGATTGCAATTTTGAATCATGTTAAAATTGCTATCTGACCCTGACATCTTATGTTTCAAATGTGATCAATGAATGGGTTTGGAAATTAAAAGAATTGAAAAAGAATGAGACTATTCAGTCTACATAGATATCTTTCACCATATACGGTATTCAGAGAAATACTATTGCAGAGTGTCTTCTTAATCAGTGGGCCCTGAGGAGTCCATGCTGTCTTTCCTAAAGATCAAATATGGACCAATACACAAGAGTTGTTGTAAAAAAGAAAAAAATAGAGAAAGAAAAAAGAAAAGAAAAGGAAACAAAAACTGGGCATGGGTGTGAGAAGATTTCCCCAACAGTGAGGATCATCAAATACTGGAAGTGACTCCCGAAGAAGGGGTAGAAAAGCTTTTTTCTTTTCTTTGTTGTAAAGGAGAGAGGCTTCTTTATATGGAATTTTCCCCTCCCGGACAAAATAAAGACTGAATGGGTTATGCTCTCTCAAAATCACTCCACTTCTGAAATTTTCTAAGTTGCTCTATTACTTTCCCATTTCTGAGCATTGAGGTTTGGCTTTCCTTGTCACCAGAGTTCCATCTTTGTGGATTCTCTTTGAAAAAGTCTATGTTTAACGGTTTTGAAAAGGTTGTTGTTTTTTTCCAGCATTTGCAATCTCTCTGCTTTTACTTAACAGATAGTCTTAAGATGAATGCATTTCAATAAAAAAGTCTCTCATTACTGTGACTTCTCTGAACATCTCAACATCTGAAGATCCGAGAAGCGATCATGGTCAAGAACTCAGCAGTAGTCATAGAAGCTAAGTCATGAAAAGCCGGGATTGACAGAATCTTCTGGTAAAGGGCTCACTGTTTCTCCAACAATTAAGCTACTACCATGCACTCTCCTTATATCCCGCCAGGGCCCATCCAGAGACAGACACTAATATTCACAAAGCCATTGAGTTTCTGTCCAATTGCTAACTCTAGTATTAAATCATGTCATGGAATTTATTTCGTTTTCTATTTTTGTTCCAATTTTTTAAAGCTGCTAAACTTTATATAGGCACATCATTTCCCCTGATTAATAACATCTTCCTCTTCTTTCAGACACTGGCTGAAGAGTCACTGCATGCTTCTTTCCTCTTCCCACACTGCTTCTGGATTTAACTAATGGGTTAGGTTATTTTTTTCCTCCAGGAGAGATAAAATACCAGGAGCAACTTGCCTGGGGCCAGATCTACTTTCACATAATATAAAGGGCAAGATGCAGGTGTTTGTTCACTGTTTGAACAACAGTGTTTCCTGAAAGTTACTGGGCCACAGAAATATATTATTCAAGGGTATTTGTGGCTATGAAGACCCAAAGGGAAACCGTAGGCACAATCGCATTTTTATTTGGTCACAAGTATACAAGAGGTATGTAAATATCTATGCTGATTGTTCACTCACGCTGGCCTTTTCTGGGAGGTCCTGGAAGTTTTTGTTCCCCAAATACATTCCTTAATTTCCTGCTTAATTGCCAACAAGAGCATGCTTATATGACACTTTAAAAATGAATAATTGTTTCTTACCTGGAATTGATTGCTATCAAAGGGACCGTGCCAAACTTACCCCAGATTAAAATAATGTACCGCAGTGGGATGAAATACAAAGTGATGGTGGCTATCACCAGGATCAAACAGGCCAGGAATGAAAGGAATGGAACCGTCCAGTTGAACGTGCTGCAGACAGACAACCACATAGATATCATTTTCTGTAATGCTCGAGAACTGCCATATAGTCATCTTAGCGTGTTTCTTTCATAGTCACACACATCAAAAGGTCCATTGGAAGAGATTCTTTAAAAACCTGGAGATAAAAGTCGGCCAAACTGATTGGGCACTGGAGAAACATTCTTTTCAATGAAACAAAACCAATGGCAGTTCAAGTTATCAGAACGCTGGTGACTTCCTGGCACTGGCAACTCCTAAGAGAAGACTTTGGCTTGCAAAAGTTATTAAAAACTGCAATATTACCATGGTGGCTCTGGGCATGGAGATCTTCAAAACTAAGGGTTAGTCAGGCCACATCCAAGTGAACATCTCTTTCGATTAACACATCGTTGCCAATAAATATTTAGAAAAGAGTGGATATTGTTACAGTGCTGTAGCGTTGTCTAATAACTTAAACATTTAGAATTTCCAAACTCATTTACTCCAGAATGCTACCAGTGCCCTGCAATGGGTAGGGGAGTATTTGGCTATAAACCATTAGACCATCAATCATAGATAATGTAGATGATTTTACTACATATTATATTCACTGAGCTCCTGGCTCTTTTCACTGTATCACCAGCGGCTTTGCAGGAGAAACATGTGGCAGTCTGCTTCTGTAAAGATTACAGCCTTGGAAACCCTATGGGCAGTTCTACTCTTCCTATAGGGTTGCTATGAGTCAGAATCAACTCCTTGGGAATGGGTTTGTTTGTTTTTTTAGGGGGATGGCTTATGGCCTGCTATGCCTTGAGTGGAATGGAGAACCAGACCACGGTGAAACTGAATGTATTGTGAAAATCCTTGCCAGAGTCCTAGAAAAAGCTCTGCAAATCCAACCCCCTGCTGAGGGCATGTAAGTGCACAGAGCACATCTTCTGACTGGGTCTCACCTTCACTTAAGACCATGTCTGCTGAACCTTTGCATTGGGCTAGGAATACAAAGAGGTACAGATTTTTTTTGCTGTTGTCTTCTGGGATTTTTTTTTGTGGATGGGAACACTGAGGAATTTTAAGGGAGTAGCAAAGATGTCACCTTGAGGACTAAGGTACACCTGACCCAAGCCATGGTATTGTCAGTTGCCTCACATGGATGCAAAGCTGGACAATTAATAAGGAAGACCGAAGAAGAATTCATGTATTGGAATTATGGTCTTGGTGAAGAATACTGAATATACCATGGACTGCCAGAAAAAACAAATCTGTCTTGGAAGAAGTACAGTCAGAATGCTCCTCAGAAGCGAGGATGGCGAAACTTCATCTCACATAATTTGGCCATGTTATCAAGAGGGACCAGTCCCTGGAGAAGGACATCATGCTTGGTAGAAGGTCAACAAAGAAGAGGAAGACCTTCAACGAGATGGACTGACACAGTAGCTGCAACAATGGGCTCAAAAATAGCAACAACTGTGAGGATAGCGAAGAACTGAGCAGTGCGTCCTTCTGTTGTATGTAGAGTCAGAACTGACTCGACAGCACCTAACACTGCACTTGATATGTGCCATACATTGCGCTAATCTATTTTTTGCATATTTAGACTATAATTCTTAAAATAATTATGCCAAGTATTATCCTCTTTTCCCAAATGAGCAAATTGAGGCTGAGAAAGGTTGTCTAATTTGTGTAATCACAATTCCATTAACAGTATGAGAGAACCCCCCTCTTGCCTCACCCTCTTGTCAAAACTGAGTATGATCAATGTATTTAATCATCTTAATTTGTTTTTCAGTGAATTCTAGCTTATTTTTTTTGCACAGAAGCCACTTTATAGGAAAGGGCTTACAGAAATTGATTCATAAGCAAACTGACTTGGGTTTGAATCCAGGCTCTGTCTCTAATGAGCTGAATGACTTTAGGAAAGTGATTTAATCCATCAGAAGCATACTGTCCTTCTTTGCAAAATGGGAATAATAATAGTACCTAAATCATAGAGTTGTGCTAGAACTGAATAAGAAAAGGCATTTAAAGTATTGAGCTTAGTGTCTGCCACGTTGTAAAAACTCAAAAAATTGTAAAGCAGTTATTATTTGTCAATTTTCTCTTGAGCTGTTTTGACTTTTTCCTCGGTGATTTATGATATCTCTTTGCATACTAAAGAAATTAGTCCTTTGTCATGTTTGCTACAAGTATTTTTCTAGTTTGTGGCTTTTTCATATTTTTAAAGATATTTTTAAATATAAAAATTATATATTTTCATATGATCAAATTTATCAGTGTTTTCCAGATTGGGCCACACTTACAAAAACAACATCCTCATTCCAGTAATTTGACACCAGCTATTGAATAATCAGGAGTCTGTGAGTGGTGCAAACTGTTAACATGCTCAGCTGCTAGTGAAAAGGATAAAGGTTCAAGTCCACCAGAGGTGCCTCGGAAGAAAGGCCTGGTGCCCTACTCCTGAAAAATCAGCCATTGAAAACTCTAAGGAGCACATTTCTACTCTGTCAGTCATGGGGTTGCCATGAGCTGGAGTCAACTGGATGGCAACTCTTTTCTTTTTTAAATTAAACAATCACTATTTCCCTCACTATTTTAACATGTCAACTTCTATGTTATTCTAAATTTCTACATATGCATAGGACCACTCTTGACTTCTCTCTTCTGCAGTTGACCTTCTAGTAGAACTTTTTGGAGAGCAACTTCGTACTATATACGGAAATGTCATATGTACTCCATAATTGCCCCAGCTATGCCTTTGCAGTATAGTTTGTAACAATTAAAAAAAGAAACTGTCTACCATTATCAACTGGAAAATATCTAAATAAATTATGCTCTGCAATACTAAACATCTGTTAAAAAGAATGAGAACACAAGACTCCCACACATCCATCCCTCTGAAAACGGAGGTTCAAAGCTAAATACAGTGAAACCTAAATTGTAGAAATAAGCAGATGCATATGTATATGTATACATGTATATAATTATTAAAGTATTTAACTATGTATAAACACCACACACATAGGTTTTTATACTGAAAAAATGTCTAAAATATATACTCTAAGCTTTAAGAGTATTTAAGAATGAGATGCGGGAGGGAGAAGAAGGGGAGGCTTTTCATTTGCTGTACTTGATTATTTTTATAATGGATGTATATCACATTAAAAAGGAAAATAAAAAACAAAAATCGAATACTAAAATAAGTAAAAACAACTGTCAATCTTTGTACCCTGTTTTTTTTTTTTTAAACCAGAGACACAGTTAATGGTAGATTCTGGTACAAATGTTTATGTAGCAACAAAACTACCTTCTTTTCACTCGGACATATTATTTATTAACCTAAACCAACCCACTGCCAGCGAGCCAATTCTGACTCACAGTGACCCTACAGGATGAGCAGAAGTGCCCCGTAGGGTTTCCAAGGCTGTAAGTCTATAGGCAAGCAGACTGCCACATCCTTCCCCCACAGAGCAGCTGGTGGGTTCGAACTACTGATGTTTTGGTTAGCAGCCGAGTGCTTTAACCACTGCATCACCAGGGCTCCATTTATTAACCTACCCCTTGCCATGGAGTTGATTCCAACTCATAGTGACCCTATATTAACCTAGCCACTTACACTTTACAAATAATTCCAGTTCTGACTTTTGTTAGCTGTGTGATCATAAGCAATTTACTCAACTTCTCTGTGTTTTAGCTTTCCCATCTGTAAAATGGGAATGATGACTGTATCTACTTTATAGAGATGCTTAGAGGATTAAATAATTTAATGAATACAAAGCATTTAAAATAATATTTGGTATATAATAGTTGTTCAGTAAGTGTTAGCTAGTCTCATTTTTCTTGTTATTACTGCACAAAAGTGACATAAATATGATAAGAAAGCTAATTACATCGGATAGTGTTTTGAAGATAACAAAAGGTACAGAAAGTACATGGAATTACTTTTTTAAAAGAAATATACATTAGGATTCCTTTTCTAGCAGTACCACTCCCTCCTTTAAAAAAAGGAAATGCTAGATAATTAAAAACAAAACATTTTTTTAAAAAGAAAGCCATCATTAGGCTGACATGAAAATAAGAAAACACTAGAGGGTAAAAATAAAATGAACTGCAACGACTCCGGGAGGTAACTAAACTCCAAAGTCAAATTTCACGCTAAGAATTTCTTCCAAGTATTAAGATTTTGAGCTTCTTTCTGTTATCTACAAGGCACATGGGGGATAGAGGATACAGCACCAGACCTCCCCAAGAAGGGATTCTAACAGAAACCACTGCTTAAAGTTTACATATTCAGGTGAGGGTGAATAAGAAAAAAAGAAACCCAGAAGAGTTAATACCACTACTACGAAAGGTATTTCAGAACATAAAAAAGGATGGAATACTCCCAAACTCATTCTATGAAGCCAATATAACCCTGATACCAAAATCAGATTAAGACACCACAAAAAAAGAAAATTACATACCAATATCCCTCATGAACATTGACACAAAAATCCTCAACAAAATTCTAGCCAATAGAATTCAGCAACATATCAAAAAAATAATTCACCATGATCAAGTGGGATTTGCACCAGGTATGCAGGGGTGGTTCAACATTAGAAAAACAATCAATGTAATCTGTCACATTAATAAAATAAAAGACAAGAACCACATGATCTTATCAGTTGATGTAGAAAAGGCATTTGACAAAGTCCAACAACCATTCATGATAAAAACTCTCAACAAAATAGGAATACAAGGGAAATTCCTCAATCATAATAAAGGGCATTTATACAAAGCCAATAGCCAACATCATCCTAAATGGAGAGAGCTTGAAAGCATTACCCTTGAGAACGGGAACCAGATAAGGATGCCCTTTATCACCACTCTTATTCAACATTGTGCTGGAGGTCCTAGCCAAAGCAATTAGGCTAGAAAAAGAAATAAAGGGTATCCAGATTGGTAGGGAAGAAGTCAAAGTATCTCTATTTGCAGATGATATGATCTTATACACAGAAAACCCCAAAGAATCCACAAGAAAACTACTGGAACTA